CACTAACCCCCGGGCCCAGACTGAGCTGAACCCCAGCCAAAAACCCCCCCCCCCCGCCCCCGTCTGTGGACTCCCTGTGTTTGAAGCCCACTCCTCTGACACGCGTCTCTCCAGATGATGAACAGGTTTTTCTTCAGAAACAAAGATGATCACAGCGTTGACAAGGTGACTGATCCACACCTGGAGTGACGGCGGCACGCGGCTCTGATGTAAAGAACGTCAGCCACCGGGTGTCGCTGCAGCGTGGAAACGGTCGTTCTTCAGCCGTTTGATGATGTTGAGCCACAAAAGTTTCAGATTTTGCACTTTGATGATTTTCAGTTGAGCGGCTGCGGCCCCGACTTCAGCAGCACCTCGTCTTTCAGAGCCTTTTTTTTGTCTTTCCTCGTCTCCTGCTCCTGAGGAAAGAACTCCAGACCTCTCTCCATCTCCAGACCTCGGCCCAGTCTACGTCAGCCTTGACTCCACTCTGGTCTAGGACCGAGGTCAGAGGATCAGAGGATCAGAGGATCAGAGGATCAGAGGAGACGTGGAGGTCTACCCGTCACAGAGTTGGGTTCTGATTCTCTTCATCAAAGCACCAGAGCCAGGTCAGACGGAGACGAAGACGGAATCATCTCTGGAAGCTCCTCCTACTGCTCCTCTTTGTCACACCCCCTGGTTGCCCCCCCACCCCCACCCCACCTCCCCCACACACCCCCCGGTTCTTGGTGTGTTTTTGTGGCTCATTTGAAGGGTTTTCTTTTTCCCTGACGAACTCTGATCCTGTTTCTCTTGGATGAGACTTTCAGGCTTTTTTTTTTCTCTTTTGTGGAAGTTGGGATTCTCTGACGTCCCGGCACAGACATAAGCTAATTCTACCAGAATGTACTGTATGTGTGTAAAGTGACAATCTGATCAGCTCTCTGTCCTCGCCTCTGATACGGCTTTTTGTAACAATGTAGTTGCTTGAATGGAAAATAAAACTACTCTGTCACTTAGTCTTAGAGTTCACTCCTCACGTCTCCTCTAGGCACGACGACTTCCTGTTCACTGTTCACTGTTCACTGTTCACGGCACGTGGTCTCAGAGTTGAACCTCATCTGTAACTTATCAGACATTTGATCCTATAAACGCCTTTAAAATCACAAACCCGTCTTATCTTCTTATATTTATATCTTCCTCATGTTTGTGTGTGTAATGATACCATTTCACTTCATTTGTCTGAAAGTATTGTTTTTACGCTGCTACTAATTTGACTCAGCAGGCAGAACAATTAAATACTCTTCCACTAGGTGGCAGCAGATGCCTATAAAATAAAACCAGAGAAAGTTCCAGGAGCTGTTGAAGATCTTTGTGTCTTGAATTCATGTGGTTCGAAACGTGTTGATAGACGCTGCTGTATGTGACCCTAGATATAACTCTGCCCTCACCTGGTGACTGCTGGAACTGCCTCAGCCTTCCCCATGCCCCAGACCCTGAAGGAGGATCACGCAGTAGTACGTGAACGACGGATTAATGAATTTATTTCAGCTAAATTGTACTTTATACCGACGCAGATTTTTTTTTAAAAAGGGTGAAAATGTCCACTCGTTTCAACGGAAGAACAGAGGTCGTGACCCGGAAAAGGATTCAGCTGTTGAGAACGACGGTTTGATTGTTAATGTACTTCTCACAGTGTGCACTGGTGCTATATTACCACTAGATGGAGACATGTCACTGGTAGAGATAAACAGTTTGTAGAGGCCAGTGTCATTTAAAATTTAAATGTCCTGTGTGATTTTAATGTGATATGACGTCAACTGCTGTTAAATATTAGTCGCTAATTAATCGCTTTGTGACCGATTTCCTCAATCTTATCTGCACGTGCGCAGGAAGAGGGAGGGTGGGGGGGGGGGCAGCTGAACAAATGATAACGTAGTAAACATTTAGATAATTTATCTAAAAATATAACCCACTATAACTGCTCTTGTTAATTAACTAATCCTTTATAACCTGTTAACTTGCACAGCCCAGTTAATGAACGAATCATTCCTAATCTTTTCTAATGATTTCAGGGTTGGAGGTCCCTCTGACCTCAGGGCCCTGGTGACGACCTCAGTCTGTCCTGTCTTGTCCTGGTTAATAGCTTCAGTATGAACTAAACTAACTAATTAATGACCAGCTGCTGCAGTGTGAGTCTCAGTGTTCACTGCTGATGTCACTGCTGATGTCACTGCCCGACACTGAAGGCCTGTATTAAACATGAAGATAAATGTGGTGGTGGTGGAACATGCACTCGAAGGTGTGCACGTGACCACGCCAGGTCTTAGCCAGTGGGTGGCGTCCTGCGTGAGGCCTGGAGCAGCAGGTTTGTTCTTTTGAACAACAAACCAGAAGCTCAAGCCAAACAGAGCTGTGTTGTTAAACCACTCCAACTGGCCCTGCAGTGGGTGGGGTGCTGCAGCTACACCTGCAGGACACAAGTAAGTCACCTGATCTGGTCTCGGACCACGTGACCACGTGACTGAGTTACCAGGGTCAACCTCAGCCTACATCTCTACATCTGTGGACAGACAAATGTCAACAGGTTTTGTCTGGTTTCCAACATTCCTGTCGGTCAGTTTGACTTTTAACGACTCTCTTGTCAAAACTATATTTTTTCCTTCGTGGGAATTGTTGTTGAAAACATTTCCTTAGATCAACGTTGCTTTTCTTAATCCCAACGACTCCTCCCATTGATATAAAACCGTCCTTTTTTAGAGGACAACGTCTGGGCTGAAAGTACGTTTCATTGAGAAGGCGGGGCGAAGGCGGGGCTTATCGGAACCATCGAATCAGCTCTCAGGATACAACCCCCTCCTGTGGGCGGGGCTCGGCGGGGAAATCCTGATTGTCATTGGCTGCAGCCTGACGAGGGGGCAGGACCCGCAGACGGAAGTGTCTCCCCACTGGCCCAGCTGTCATCGAGAACAGAGAGGAGACCATTTACACCGGCTGCCTAGGAAATGCTGAAAAAGGAAAAACGCTAAAATATGGCAACATCCAAACCATAAGGTCATGTCGCCGAATTAAAGGTAAATATGTCCGACACGTCAGCACGCAGTTAGTCCTGCAGCTACGCGTGAAGCGCCTTCGAGGCAGAGAGATGTTGTTTGTAGAGTAAAAACGACTCCAGGCTTTGGTAGAGACTGTGTGACATTGAACGAACAGGACGTAGAACGGACGAGGTCGTTCACAAACCGTTCACTGTTTCTAACTTGTCACGTCCGCCTCGGTCCGCCACCGTATGTGACGATGTCGTGAACGTTAGACATTTCGATGGACGCGTCGGCCGCTCACTACGTACTTAACGTCTCCCAGTGAATGTGCATCGTCGTCGGGGCGGAGGTTGCTGCTGTTCTCGGCTATTATCCTAGCCTAGCGGCTCGAAGAAGGGAAGTAGATACAGGACAGACAGGAGACGCCATCAATATTGTTCTATTTTAACGCTTTGCTGACGAGGCGCTCGTTGCTCCGGGTCGGAACACCAAGTCGGTACGTGTGTATGTGTGTGTGTCTGTGTGTTTATTCCTGTTCGCTGTGTTAAACATTAACGTCAAAGCTGGAGCTGTGGGATTTAACACATGTACGGAGGCAGAGCAGCTGTTAGCTCCGCTGCTAGCTGCCTAACGACCTTTGGAGACGTCAGCCTCAGCTGCAGCAGCTCAGCCCGCGGCTCCTCGGCTGCCCCTGCTCCCAGGGTTAGGTTTCACGGAGGCCTTTAATGGTCAACGACTCGACCTCATCGATTGTATCACAGCCCGGGCAGCAACCCGAGCTCGTCCGCTGCCTCGGTACAGACGTGTGTTATTACATGGAAAAACAGATTCATGGAAGGTTAACAATCCTCTCTTACCTCCTCACCCCCTCCATGCCCCCCCCCACCCCCCTGTCTTTCTTCATTTAAGGATAAAGAAGCCGGAGAAAGCCAAAGGTCAACTTAAGGTTCTCTGTGTGTCCTAAATGGGGGACTACGGGTTTGGAGTTCTGGTGAAGAACAGTAGCAGCAGCAGCAGCAGCAAATCTGCTTTCCCCGTACGGATCCCTCCTCACCTCCAAACACAGCACCACCCTTCCGACCCCCCCAGCCCACCTTCCTTCGTGAACAACACCTGCTCCACTAATGGGGGCTGCGCTTGGCTGTTCCCTACAGTAGCCCAACACACTAACATGCAAGATGAGATTCTGGAGACGGACAAGTCCAAGGCCTTGGACCTCCAGGACATGCAGGAGAAGTCTCAGGTTCCGATCCAGCCCCAGTCCCTGTCTCCGTGCCAGCAGGAGGCTGGGGGAGGACTAGGGGAGCTGGATGGAGCTCTCCCTGACGATGGTCCACTGGAGAAGGGCTCCTTGGAAAGCAGCGGTGGGAAGGAGAAGCTGAGGATGGAGTCTCCGGTGCTGCCCGGCTTCGACTACCAGGACAGCCTGGGAATGGGTACAAACATCGCACAAGCCACCTCCTCCGCATCTTCACTTACCAGCTTCAACAACTGGTCCCCTGCCGTCCAGTCCAGTCAGTCCCCCATTGTCGGTGAGGACATCGGAGGGTTTTTTGCCCCCACTAGTTCCAATGCCAACGGACCTCCTCTGCTGTTCCAGAACTTCTCCCACCACACCGGTCCTGGCTTTGGGGCAGGGGGCAGTTTCTCCCCTCAGATTGGACCGGTCTCCCAGCACCATGCTCCTGCACCCCACCCTCAGCATTACCACGCCCACGGTCAGGGTGTGCCCCAGCAGCACCGGCGCTCCCCGGCCAGTCCTCATACTCCCCAGCCCTCGTTCTCTCCACATCCTCATCGCACTGGAGCGTTCACCCAGCTCCCTCATCTGGGCCCCACCCAGAACAAACCCCCCTCACCTTGGGCCAGCTTTCAAAGCCCCTCCACTCCCCCGTCTTCCTCCTGGAGCCCTGGTGGGTATGGTGGCTGGGGGGGCACTCAGGTGAGTCGAGACTACAGGAGAGGGGTGGTTGGGGGCGTGACTGGCCTTAACTCCATCTCTTCACTGAAGAAGTCCTTCCCCAACAACCAGGTAGGAACGCAGCCACCAACAGACGTCACGTGGTAGGAATGTTCCGACGTTCAGACGTGTCACTGACCAGTCTGTCCGTCCACACAGGTCCCCCCCCAGAAGTTCTCCCGAAACAGCTCTGGCTTCAATCACAAGGGCTGGGTGGAGGAGAGCATGAGCCGCAGCGACAGCATCTACCCTTTCCAGGTGAGCGCCTATTATTATGGTCTGGTCTAAACACAAAAGAGCTGGACGTCCAATCAGGTTTGGAACTTTTCTGCTCTGTGTCTAATGTCTGGAAATAACAGGATTATTTGACAGTTTTGTTGTGATTGGCTAAGCCACACAACACGCTGCATCAACAGTGTCGGCCGTACTGGTCTCTGTCCCGTATAAACAAGAATTAATATGGATCTGTAAAAGTCTGTTCCAGACTGGAGTGCTGCCTGAAGACTGGGGGGGGAAGGGGTCGAGGGGGGGTCGAACATTTTATTCCTGACTCGGAGTCGACACTAACCCTGTTGAACATGTTTGTCTGTGACAAGTTTATCAAAGAAGTCACTGAGGTGGAGACGTGGTGACGCTGTAGCTGAGCAGGGGATTCGAGTTGACACTCCATGTATTTGCTGGTGTCTGAAGACTGATGAAGATCAGGATGATGAAGGAGAGCGCTCCGATCATCTGCTCTGTGTCACCAGTGCGGTGCCGCGACCCTTATTTTGTGTTTCCATCCTGTTTTTTTTGGCCACAGAAATATTCAGCCCACCTGGGTCACCTGGTGGTCAGTGGTATTCTGAAGTAACTCATCTTCCTCAGGGAAGGTTCTGTGCAGTTTTTTTTTGTTGCCTCAGCTCTGCCCCCAGTGGGAGGTGGAGGTACCAGCGGTTCATGTGTCCATGTCGTTCTGCAGGAGAGAACGCGCTCCTTTGACGGCTTCAGTATGCACTCTCTGGAGAACTCGCTCATCGACATCATGAGGGCGGAGCAGGATTCCTTGAAAGGTGGGTTCACACACAAACACGGCGGAACCTTCTGGTTTTTTAAGGCGACTCCATCGTTCTGGATTTTTCCATTCCTTCTTTATTTTGAGACTTTGTCTGTTTTTGTCACAGGACGTTACAGCTTCTCTCACCAGGGGGGAGACGGACCGCTGCCTCTGAACGGTATGTAAATAACCAGCAGTTAAGGCGCGGGGGGGACGGGGGTCGGCGGGGGTCAGAGGCCAAAACATCATCACGGGCATCTTTAAAATGGCTGACATAAAAGGCCGCAGTGACATGATCTCCGTGGTTACCGTGGGTGATGAAACGATGGGATGTCACTTGACTGTCATGATTTTCTGAAGCAGTTTCTGCCCTTTGGGAAATTCAAAATGGCCGATGCGGCAGCCATTTTGAGTGTTGATCCCTACAACCTAATTGTTTTGTTTTGCAGATTTTTATTTAGTTTTCTTTAAAAAACATTTTTAAGGTTGTTGTTTTTGTTGTTGTTTTACATGCAGCCAGAAGTTATGGCAGAAGACGAGGTAACGTTGGTCGATGTGTCTGCATTTGTTCATTGTTTAAAACAAAGGTCTCCAAACACTGGGACGCAGACTGGTACTGGTCCTGGTACTGGTACTGGTACTGGGTCACTCTGGTACCAGGCTTAAAGAAGAAAAAATAAATACCACACGCAGTAACAGACACCCGTGGACAGGTGTGAGGAGTCCCGCCAAAATAAAAGTCTCAGCAGAGCCGTAGGAAAGACCTTCAAAATAAAGTTCCAGTACTATTTACAGTACTGTTGAATCACCACAGCTGGTTCTCACCTGGACCTGTGCTCTGTGACCGATGCGGAGTTTGACCTCGATGACCTTACGATTTGTTTTAATATTAGCCCTATCATTTTATTTGAAGTCATCTGTTTGGAGACCTCTGGTTCAAGAACATCTGAAATGATTCCCTTTTTGTCATTTTGTGTCTGAGATTGTCTGCTTTTTTTATTTTTATTATTTGATTACGTCTGACCTTTTAGTAGTAGGGGTTTTCGTCTCCTGGGTCAGGTGTTCAAAGGTCACCCGTCCTAGAACTTTCCGTCTTTGTGTCATCATAATGCGCTCGTGTCTGTGTCTGTTGGTTTTTTTGAATCGGTTCCTGTTAGTACTGGACCCTGGGTCCAGAACCAGCGGACACTGTCCAATCCCATCATCCATTGTTCTCTCCCTCAGGTAATTCCTCTCTGTTTCCTATGGAGGATGAGCGCTCGTTTGGCGAGGATGAGTCAGGTGACCAGGGACTGCCAGGCCTAGGCTCCGCCCACTGTTTCCCCCACCTCAACGGTGAACGCGTAGAGAGATATTCTCGTAAGGTGTTTGTTGGAGGGCTGCCCCCCGACATAGATGAAGGTAAATGATTCACTCAAGTATTTACAATCACATTGTCTTAAATCATTTTATTGTTATTTTTATTCTGGTATATCAAATAATTCTTTTTTTTTCAACCTGTGTAACTTCCAGATGAAATTACTGCCAGTTTCCGTCGATTCGGTCATTTGTTCGTGGACTGGCCCCATAAGGCCGAGAGCAAGTCCTATTTCCCACCTAAAGGTGAGTCCAGCGCTCCGACACCGCAGCGATGAGAGTTCACAGACCAGAAGTCTGACGTTGAAGACCAGCACCTGATTAATGTCACTGGTCGCTCCCTCCAGGCTACGCTTTTCTGCTGTTCCAAGACGAGAGTTCTGTCCAAGCTCTGATCGACACCTGCATCCAGGAGGACGGCAAACTCTACCTGTGTGTGTCCAGCCCCACCATCAAAGACAAACCTGTGAGTGTCAGTCAGTCCTGGACCAGTCTGCCTCCCTGGTCCCAGGGAAACGGACCCAAGGTTCTGCTCAGACAGACGTTTCTTCTGTGGTGTCTTTTTCCTGTAGTAGTACTTCTAGTCACTCTGATGTGTGTATTATGTACTCATTACTTTCTAAATGTAGTACTGTATGAGGACATGGAGTAATCATGATCCTGATTCGATCCTAAAGGTCCAGATCCGACCCTGGAACCTGAACGACAGTGACTTTGTCATGGATGGATCTCAACCCCTGGACCCGAGGAAGACCATCTTTGTGGGAGGCGTCCCCCGACCCCTGAGGGCAGGTAAGGCTGCAGTGACACTTACTGTACACCAGAGGTTCCCAACGAGCGAGGCACCCAGACAGACACTGAGTCATGGGTCATGTGACACCAGGCCACAGAGGGACAGAATAAACCACCCATTGTCTTCATATTGTTGTCAGTGTGGACCTTCAAAATAAAAGTCTGGCACATTTGCATTTTATGTTGTAAACCTACCAGCAGCACAGAGCAGTGGTCAGAGCTGTGCTGCAGCTGGTCCTCCCCTGGTGTCAGCAGCAGAGCTGAGCTGAGTTTGACTAAGTCACTTCCTGTCACCACCACAGTGGAGCTCGCCATGATCATGGACCGTCTGTATGGGGGAGTGTGCTATGCCGGAATCGACACCGACCCAGAACTGAAGTACCCGAAAGGGGCGGGGCGTGTGGCCTTCTCCAATCAGCAGAGCTACATAGCGGCCATTAGTGCCCGGTTTGTCCAACTGCAGCACGGGGAGATTGATAAACGGGTGAGTCGCAGAGTGTGGGGGTGCGCGCCCCTCGGGTGCCCCCCCCCCCCCCCCCCCCACACACACACACACAGGTTGACTTGTTTTTCTCTGACCTCACAGGTGGAAGTGAAGCCATACGTCCTGGATGACCAGCTGTGCGATGAGTGCCAGGGGACGCGGTGTGGGGGGAAGTTCGCCCCCTTCTTCTGCGCCAACGTGACCTGTCTGCAGTACTACTGCGAGTACTGCTGGGCGGCCATCCACTCCCGAGCCGGCCGCGAGTTCCACAAACCGCTGGTGAAGGAGGGAGGGGATCGACCTCGACACATATCCTTCCGCTGGAACTGAGGCGAGGGGAGGATGGAGGTCCGGGGAGGGACGGGGGGGGGGGCGATTGTGGGCAGGGTACGGGCTGTAAAATTAAAAGCACTTTTCTTTTAAGTTAAGAAAATAAAAAATCTAAGTTATTTTTTTATATAATTTTTTAATTGGGCCTTCTTAAAGAAGTAAATGTTAAGAGTGAAAATCCAGTTTAGGTTTTTGACTTCACGTGTGCATGACGGTGCATAAGATTTGGATTTAGACCTGGTTTTCTGACTTGACTACTTTTTTTTTTTTTTTTCTAGCGTTAACTGGTGAAGCTGCTTACATTTGTTGTCTAAAATAAGAGTTCACGTGAGGTTCATCGTACCTGAATCTGTGTACTAACAATGAACGTTGGGTTTGAGGTGGGCGGGGCTTTTGTTAATTTTTCTGCTGGCAGGATGATGGGATGGAAGAACAGAACTTACCAAAGGTGGAGTGGAACAGAACAGAAAACAAGGCGGTTTAAAAAAGTTGGAAGACTTGAGATTTTCAAGCAGTGAAATGTTTGGCATCAGGCAGAAGAAGTTAAAAACAAAAAAAAAGAAAAAGTCTGTCAAACGCTGCTGGCAGGATGTTTAAGGTCTTGACTTGAAAAGTTTACACTTTGCCACCGGTCAGGGTGAACCAAAGATTGGCCTAAAAGACGTCATCAGAAGCAGACATCGATGTGAGGGTTGGTAGGATGACGCCCACGTCCGCTTGTTGTGCGGCTGGAGTGACGAGTCAGGATCAGGACGCGGGGGTTTCAGAGTTGTAGCGGTCAAAGTCGCGGCCCTCGGGGCTCAGGTGTTGGCAGTCGTATTTGCTTACTTTATAACGTCAGGGATAATGGCACTGGACGCCAACATGCTAACATGCTAATGCAGTACAAAGTCATGGGGATACACAGTGTGGTCTCCCTGAGCTGTTTCCCATGGTGCACCACTGCACGTTCTATAATGACTGGAGCTTCTATAACAAGTGTTGTGGTTGGTTGTGGTAGTAGCTAGACCTCGCTGTCACAGAGATAAAGATATTATTTTATACATGGCCTGCTGATTTTTGTACAGTGTTTTATAGCTGATTATTTTGTCATGAACATATATACATTTATTATGCACTACTTTTATAAATATTTTTTTCAATAGTCATTTTAGGCACATTTTTCACAGATGGGAGAACTCTTTTTGCAATACCTCATTTTTTTTCACTTGGTGAAAAATAATTTTGTACCTTTGTTACTAAAAAAACTGCATTTATGGTAAACTTAATTTAAAAAGAAAAAGATGAATGATATTAATATAATTTTCAATTAGCTTTTATATATTTAAGTGCTGGTGAAACTGAAAATCGTCTGGTGCATCGATGTGATTCTGTAGATAAAGGAAAAAAACAAAAACAAAAATGGAACCAAGGCTGTCAACGAGAACATTATCAACGTAGGCTGACGTTTGGCTCCGACTGTAGGTGGGATTCTCACGGTCGGGGTCCGTGTCCGCGGGTATCAGCCGTTGAAATATTTAGAGGCTCTTTCTGGAACTGCCTGCGAGTTCCAGCTGTTCTTGGCATGCTTCATATGTTCTACACACGACGTGGCTAGTGTTGATGCAGGGCCCCGTGGAATGCACTAGAACTCCTTCCAACGCCTTTCTTTTCCTCATGTCTTGGAGATCACCTCTCTCTCTCTCTCTCGTAGCCTCTCTGATCTGGTGTTGGAGTCTGCCTTCCTCACAGACGTGACGTTTATGCAATCCACACAGAGACAAGACTTGGACCAGTTTTGGATCTGTCTGTTGTGTTTTTCTTTTGAATTATTATTGTTATTATTTAATGTAGATGACACTCAGTAGGTCATCACTTGACCCCTCACCCCTCACCCCCCCTCCTTGTGATGTGGCATGCTTTGGGACATAACCTGAATGTGATTTAATGTTGCAAGTTAACTTTGAGCCATTATGTGCAATATTCTTTCCAGAAACAAGTGTCCGCAGTGTAAGTGGTTGAACCTCCACAGACCAGGCTGTCAATCAAACCTTCTTTTCTATTCTTCATACTGTTGTCAGCGGGAAAAAAAAAAAAAAAAAAAAACAGACAGTAATTTATAACTAAATTTATTTTTTAACATTAGTTTTGTGCTTATTTACTTATTTTGCTACAACCATGCTACTGTGATTGAAAACATTGTACATAATAGGTTGATGATGTATTTAGTATTTGCTATATTTTCAATTGAAATGTTTAACTCTGATTTTTGCTGAGATTTCTGTTCTATTTTTGGGGTGACGTGTTAAACTCATGTCTAGTTTTTTCTAATTGTTGTATCGTGCTCCACACTTTCAGATGAAAAGAATATTATGTCTTAGTATTACTTGATTGCAAAATTTCAATCGTTTTTAATTGTATGCTGGGAAGGTTATATTTATTAACTTTTTTTACCTGATATTTTGATTTTTATTAAGCTGTTTGGACATTTATACGTCATCTCTGATTTTTTTTTATTCTCACCCTGATTAATTTATGCTACAACAGAAGTCAGTTTTTATGGTTGGTTTGTAGTATTGAAGTGAAAACAAAGATCTAATGTCATAACGCCACCTGCTGCCAACTCTTTGTAACTGTATGCATACATTTGAAGTATTTGTAATGTGAGATGTTGAATGAATAAAAACAGCTGTGAGGAAGAGTCACGAGTCTGTGATGAGACACGGAGCTTCTTTCACTCAGCGGGAAATGTCAGGGGTCAGCTGAGGGGTCAGCTGGGGGGTCAGCTGGGGGGTCAGGTGGGGGTCGGTAACAGGCCCAGTGTTTAATATGAAGTGAATAATATGAACTATATATGCATCATTCAGCAACAACAACAAAGATGAACCACACGGTGGCGCTATAGTTACAGCCCCTCCATCCCCCCTTCTTCAAGCATTGACAATTTGGAGTTATTTTAGAACTATAATTCTTATATAATATATATATATTATATAAGAATTCTTCCCATCAGCCCACATCACAGTGCCCCCTCCCCCCCGTCCCACCTCCCAGGGTTAAGAAGCCATTCAGGCTCTGATGTGACGGTGGTTAGCTTAGCTTAGCTTTGATCTGACACAAGTGGCCAGGATGGCTTTGATCTGTGTCCACTATCAAAGCACAGTTTTATGTGCAGTGATGTAACACTACGACGTCAACACCGTTCACCAGTCTTCTGACTGTAGCATTGAGCACAGTGACATGTACTATGTATCGGACCATGAAAGAAACCATCGCACCTGTCAGTGAACACACCATGGAACAAATCTTTGAACAGAGCTCTGAACACTCAGGGGACCAGTCGATGGAGTGTACCGTCGATCCGTTTATTTACAAGTTCACCGAACACACGATGGACAAGGGCATGGTCCATGGTACTGACCAGACCAGTGTTGACCAGTCTATTAGTAAGAACCATGAACCAAACAATGAATGGACCATCGAACAGACTGGGCACCAGGACATGCAACAAGATTTCAGAGGTACTATTAACCAGAACGTGAAACAAAGTGAAAAACTGACCATGGATGAGACCATCAATCAGGCTACTGGACAAACTATGGATACCACAGATACCATGGGTCAGACGATACCATGGGTCAGACGACAGACCATGGGTCAGACGATGGTGCAGACCATGGGTCAGACGATGGAACACATGAACAGACACAGCACTGACCAGACTGTTGGAGATCAGGGCACAGAACGGACCATTGACAAGTCTGACGTGTCCAGTAGACCGTCCAGCCACCGTGTAGACTATAACAGTCAACAGACCATGGGAGACACCTTGAGGCGAGCTGTTGAACGTACCCTCAAACAGATGATTCACCAGACTGTCAGACAGACCATTGAGCAGTGCAGAAAACAAGCAACTCACCAGTCTAATCAACAGACCATTGACAGGACAGCGGGGCGGGCCATTTATCAGCCTGTGGAACCAGCCGTTGAGCACCCTCCGGGTCAGGGTATGGATCTGACAGTGGAGGAGAACAATGATGTCATCATAGAACAGATGATTGACCAAACAGCCGAACAGACCATTAACATGTGCATGAAGCAGACTCTGGACCAGAAGATGGCGCACAAACGCAAAAAGATGGACCAAAACAGTGATATATACATGGAACACGACATGGAACACGACATGGAACAGACGGTACCACGAAAAATGAAGAAGACCATTGACTGCAGCATCGAGGAGACCATTGAACACACCATTAGACACTGTATGGAACAGGGCAGTGAACGCAACATAGAGCGACCCCTAGGGCAAAACATGGAACAAATCACTGACCAGACGGTGGACCAGACCCCGGAGCAGAGCACAGGTCCCAGTCACGTGGCCAAGCGCGGGAAGAAAAGAAAACGAAGGGAGAAACCACGGGTGCCGTTAATAGTCAAACTACCAATAATAAACGCTCGCACTTTACCAGAGAGAATGGGAGATGACCGGAGACCGGGGAGTTGGATGTGGCGCTTAAGGTCGTCAGAGTCCGTGGAAGACTGGCTGGGTAATTAAATATACACTGTTGTATTAATTATTATTGTTAGCAGGTTAGCTATCGTGTTAGCACGTCGCTCGACGTCTGTCTGTCGTAGGTTTTAGAGCAGCTCATGCCGCACAAAAATAACTTTGACGTCAGTAAAACTTAACTGTTAACATAGCGCCACCGTGTGTATATAGAAGGGTAAATGCACTGTCAGTAAGTAAATAGAAAGACCAGGTTTCAGTCGTAACAGTGAGACCGTATGACCGATGATCGCGTCACAGAGTTGGGATAAATACGTCAGGTCTGAACCAACGATATGCCGATAGAATTGCGGTGTTATCTCTATTTTTATTGACTTTATATATTTTTTATTAGAATCGTTTTTATGACTTCATCGTCATATTCTCCTCATAATCGGTAAAAGCCGTGATTGACATACGTCAGTTAGCCCTCAGGTGGCTCCACCTACTTTTCGCACAGGCGCTGGGTTTTGAGTGACGTCACATCAACCGACCAATGACTGAACTTCTGTGTCGTTTCTTTTTTGTGTTGTTTTATTTCACCAGGTGCCAGTGAAGCCGACGTCTCTGAAGACGGTGTCGTTCTCCCACAGAACCACAATAACGAACCACAGAACCAGAAGGACAAGGTAGGCCCGTGAACCGGAAGTAGACCACTGTCCCTTCACTGTTATTGAACTCGCTGCTCAGTATTTCAGTTCATTTTTATGATAAAATAAAGGTTGTGGTTATCAAATGGTGCATTAAAAAAGGTTGGTTCTCATGAGAGTTAATAACTAGTTAATAAGTTAATAATGTTATACATCATATATAATGCTCTGTGAAAATGGAGAAAATGCTTTGTTAAACTTCTTGGTTTAATAATGTACATTAAATATACACATATATAATGTAAATATGATTACAATACGATGTATGAATAAATATATATTTCTATGCATGAATACTGTTGTACAATGTTGTGTTTGTGTGTTTATTCACTGTCTTCACCCTCTGATCTCTGTTCCCATCAGGACAAGATGTCGGTCCTTAAGACCATGTCCAGGATGCTGGAGGAGAATCAGCTCATCAGACAGAGGCTCCAGGCTCTCACCAAGGCCGACTGATGCTGCTGCTGCTGCTGCTGCTGCTGCTGCTGCTGCTGAGGCTGCCACGACGGAAAACAGGATTTGTTATGATGGCGTCACGGTGAAGCCATAAATAATTCATTTGAAAAAAAAAAATAATAATAATATCGAATAGGTTTTGTTTCCTAAATGTGTAGTGAACAGTTTTGAGGTGACGCTGGTCGGTGTTTGTGTTGAACCACAGGTTTGTTATGTTTTATCGGATTTTAAAAATATTTTAGCCTTGAAATAGTGGTGTTTTATTGAGGACAGTTTGTCCATAAAGATGGTCAGTGTTACAGGTAAAATAAATAACCGTCTTCAAGTTATCCACCAGAGGGAACTCTACACTCAGATAGTAGTGTCTGATGTTGGCTTTTTCAAGTACCGAACCCTGCAGTTCATCACTGCCGCCGCGAATGTTGTGTTTTGGAAATAAATTTAAACCACAATTCTCTCTGACTTTTGTTGAACACACAGACACACGAGCCTCGAACCCTGTTGACGTCATGAACCAGACCGTGGTGAGCAGACGGAAGCAGGTCACAGTCCTCTTTTAATTAGTTAGGGTTTAACAATTATTAGTTATAACTAATTATTATTAGTTATTGTATTAAAAAGAAGGTGCATAAACGTCAGGACTTCAAATTGAATTGCAACTAAATAAATGAAGATGAAATGAATTTAAATGTTTACGACTTTAATCTAGTAAATGTACGAATTTAAGACCGTAAATTTAGGACTTTAGTCTCGTAACGTTAGGACTTTTTTTCCATAAAATTAAGATTATTTCTCGTAACATTTCGACTCCAACACTAGATAGACCCCGCGAATCCCCCCCCACTGAAGAACCTTCAAACACAACCTCGACCCCTGGAGGAATATTTTACCCGAACACCGGAAGAGGAACACCGGGACGTCAGGTGGTGAGTGTTTAACCGTCATACTCGGGTTTTAAACATAAAAAAACGAATTTCCGTTAAATGAATGAATAATAAACAATAAATAAATATGACTGAATTTATGAACGCATGACCACGAGGCGAATGTGTTTCGAAGATTCTCATTTGTCATTTCAGGAAATCTCGTTAGTAACTTTTCGGTTTCTAAAGTTCTGACTGTGTTTCTCACTGCCTTATAGTTGATTATGAAGTTGTTCGCAGATATTTTTACTACATCTTCAAGTACTTTGTCACAATTTTTATTATTTTAGCATTGTGTCTTTATTATGATGACAATTTGACAACAATTACATTGGCGGGAACCCCCCCCCTCAATCTATCATTATGCTTGTAGTATCACAGTATATCGTACTGTTGACCCAGAGAGAAACTGTGGAAAATACAGTCAACAAAAGGGAATATAATGTGTATTTAAAACAAACAGAGACGACTTTAAGTTTAATATCAAGTAAAAATATAAAGACAATAAAAAACCGGGTAGACATGGCACACACACACGTGAATGTTTCAGGTGGTGTGTTTTCATTTAGGGAGCGTCTGCAAGTGTGTGTGTGAACTAATGATTGAGGACATAAGAACCAGGAATATTTGACTGACAATTAGTGATTAAAAAAAACACCAACACACTGATGGAGGAGATTGTTGTTCCATTCACCAGAGGTGAACTCCTGGTGTTCAGTGTTTTTCTCTCTCTCCTCCTGTAAACTTCACCGTCACTTTGTTCTCACTATTGTTCCCATATTTCACAGTGCATTTCATCTGCTACAACTCCATTTTCAAATTAAAATCCCGGATTAAGCTGATAGTAGAGTCTTTAAAAGCTCTGATTACCCAACAG